ACTTAAATGCAACGTTGAATGGTTTGACCACCATAAGAGCCTACTGCGCGCAAGACATACTGAAAAAAGAATTTGACAAACTGCAGGACGTCCATACCTCCACAGTTTATATGTTCATAGTAGCAAGCAGTGCCTTTGGATTCTCATTGGACGTTTTTTCCTTCATTTTCACGACCATAGTTACCTTTAGTTTTCTCTTATTGGAACAATCGTTCTCCGGTGGAGAGGTTGGTTTGGCCATCACCCAAGTAATGGCCCTGACTGGGATGATTCAGTGGGGTATGAGACAGAATGCCGAGATGGCAAATCAGTTGATGGCTGTGGAACGTGTGTTGGAATATACACAGATTGTGCCTGAACCGAATTTACGCGACCGAGGGAAATTCGCGAAGAAAACTGAAAAGCAAATCGCACTTCCTGCCAATGCACCAAAGAATTGGCCCGCGGATGGGATGATCAAGTTCAGAAGCGTTTATATGAAATACGTAGAGGATGATGCTCCGGTATTGAAGGGACTGAACATTGCAATTAATCCTGGAGAAAAGGTACGTGGATTTTTTGTGCATTTGAGAAAACAAGATCAGTATTGAGATGTGTTTAAAAAATATAAGATGTAATTATCTTGCAGATAGGTATAGTGGGAAGAACAGGAGCTGGAAAATCGTCTTTGATATCAGCTCTGTTCAGGCTAGCCAAAGTCGATGGTGTCATAGAAATCGATGGCGTGGACACTGGATCTATTTGTTTGGAGGATTTACGACGTCACATATCGATCATTCCTCAGGATCCAGTTTTATTCTCTGGCACGTTGAGACGGAATTTGGATCCTTTCAATGAATTTACAGACAAGGCTCTTTGGGAAGTACTGGAGGAGGTAATAAGTTGGAACCTAATAACAGTCAATTTCTTTTCTTTTTTCTTTCCTTTCTTCACGATTGAAATTTTTGATAACGTTGGTGTTTGATCGCATGACAAAGGTGGAGTTAAAAGACGCTGTAACTAGTACTGGAACAGGATTGGAGAACCGCGTTTTAGATCGTGGTAGCAACTACAGCGTTGGCCAAAGGCAGCTGGTCTGTTTGGCGAGAGCTATCTTAAGAAACAATAAAATACTTATGCTTGACGAAGCTACGGCCAATGTGGATCCACACACGGATGCCTTGATCCAGCAAACGATACGAAAGAAATTTGCCAACTGCACTGTACTTACTATTGCTCACAGGTTAAATACCATTATGGACAGCGACAAGGTGTTAGTTATGGATAACGGTCGTATGGCTGTAAGTAGAATTTTTTATTCGTGTATACTTGGTTTGAAATATGTAAATTACAAATGAATTAAATTGCAGTTAAATAATAAATTATTGAAAGTATTACAATTAAATTATTAAAGAATTACAATTAAATTATATGAAAATTTAGTACTGATTGTCTAGTTATTTTGAATCTCGATTCATTAGATATTGAATGTTCTCTCCTTGAACGTCAGTCGTGTACGAAACGCTGTTTTCATTTGCAGGAATTTGATCATCCTCACTTGCTGTTACAAGACAGCTACAGTCAATTCAAATCATTGGTCAAAGAAACCGATCGTGCTATGTATGACCAGTTAGTGAAAATAGCGAGGCAATCTTACATCGCGAGACACGGAGAACGATGATTGCTGGATAAAAACTGCTTAGTTGTTAGAACAATTGAAGAGTTTGTAGCAACAAGGAACAGCTAGCTTGCTGTTTGCGTCGGTGACGGAAGAAGGATCGCTTAAATAACGATATTTAACGGTACTCGAGAGCTGTGAATTTTCTGACTTCGGAAGAATATTCGGAAAGTGGAGATAGCTGCCTTCATTGTTATAAGCGGCTTCAATTGCCATGCGACAGAGCCTGTGCAATACGAGAATCATAGTTTTAATTTTATGTCTACCAAGTATTATTACAAGCGTATGCAATATAGTTATATGATCGATATGATATAGTATAGTCTCGAGCAATAATCGAGAGAGGATATTTTTAGACTTACACGCGTAGATTGTTGCAACTTGTTATTCCAAGTATTCTTTTTTTTTTTCTTATAAGCAGATTGCGGATTTGTATGCACGAACTCCAACGAAACGGGATCTCGAAGAGAGAAAGTTTTTTCGTTTTCCAAATGGCGTGAAACGAAGGATTTTTTTCTTTTTGAAAAACATATAAGTATATTTTTGTAGAAGCCTCTTTTGTTGTGGTTCTTCTTCGAACTTTCGCGCACGTAATTGAGATTTGCATGAAAATGCAAAGTCTACTTGTAATGTATAAGCAGAACGCCGCTAGGCGGCGTGCCGAACTTTCAAATGTTCGTAGGTATACTTAATTTTTGTACTTCATATTCTACGAGTTCACACCGTGGAGAACTATTATGTCTGTTGTTTTTGGAAAAAAGGAGGGGGAAGGAACGAAAGGTACAGAATTTTCCATAGTTTTGGACATCCACGTGAATGCCAAAAAACAACAACAAAGAATTAAAAACTAGCTGTAAGAATTATACGGTTCTTTTTTTCTTAAAGAAATGTTCTATTCCAACTTATAGTATTTTTCTGTGCAAGATCATTGTACTGTGCAATACTATATAATTACCTGTTATATATGTGCAAAATGTTCTATAGATACACGTGCTATAGTATTTTTCTATGCAAGATCATCGTACTATACAATGCTTTATAATTACCTTTTATATATGTGCAAAATGCTCTTTAAATGAGAGAGATCGAGTATCGATTCATTTGTCACGAGGATACAGTGTTCGATAGTTCCGTCTATAAATTGAAGTACGATCGTATTAAGAATATGTGGAACGCGCGAGGATTACACAGCGGTGCAGTGTTCATTGTGTAATTTAATATATATTTTCGATGATTATATTTTCGATTATTATATTTTTTATTGTACATTTCCACGCATACTGAATTGTAAATAAAATACTTTACTTTTATAAGACGCTATCGGAATGATTTATTTCAATAATATTCGTGAGTAGCGCCCTCATAACTGTCTACACTTTAGACCTCGTAAGTGACCATCGCTTATCCCCACCAATTCTTGGAATTGGGTTTTTTCCCATTCTAGGCTATTTTACTGTGTGGCCGTATGAAACATGACACTCGCACAACAGGAAACAAGCGATATATCATAATTTCCGCACATTATCATTGTTGGAACAAAATTGGGTAAATTTTATTTTAAGTAACAAATACAGTAGTGCTTGCTTAAGTGATTGCTTTATTTTTGTAAGTAGTTGAATATTTTACAAGTTAAATATTTCCTTAATACATTCATAAATTATACTAAATTACATTAAATAATAAAAATAAATAACGATGGAAATAGAAATATTACAGAATATAATATATAATATAACAGTAATAAGTAGAAATTTTACAGAAAAAAAATAATAAAAAGTGTAAATAAAAATTATTTTGAATTGTAATAATCTATTATAGATTTTGCATGATTTGGAATTTCTGGTTCTGTTGCAATAATTTTTTGTAAATAATACAACAATCTCTCAACTTCTTCTGCCTCTATTGGATTCGCAGGAAGCTGTGAATCTGTAGCATCTGTCTCTTCGGTGTTGTCTTCTCTAATTCTTTCTGCTTCGCCACATTGATTGATCCACTCTGTCACTTCTTCATCAGAAATTGTTTCACATGCTACATCATACAGAGCAGGTATTTTTTCAGGTATTCCTGTTTCTCGATTGAGGATTTTATTCCAAGAATTGAATATATTCGTAGAGGTTATGATGGTCCATGTTTCATTTATTAAATCTATGCAATCTTTTATGTCATAATCGGCGTAAAATTCTGATATACCATTTTCATAGTGTAAGACGCGTTGTAACAACTTATGCCGGAATTTTTTTTTCAATTTCGAAATTATGCCCTGATCCATCGGTTGGATTAGGGAACTGGTATTGGTCGGTAAAAATATGATTTTGAAATAACCGTCGTCCATCTCTTCCTCTGGTAATTTATGGCCAATAAAATTATCTATTACCAGTAGAACCTTACCACTAGAATTTTCTTCCAATTGTCGCCTTCTAACACGAGGTTTAAATTCATTGTGGTACCAAAATTGAAAAATTGCAGTATTCATCCAAGCATGTTTATTATACATATATATCACAGGTAAATTATTCTTACAGTGTTTTAATGCTCTAGGATTTTCACAATTATTAATTAAAAGTAGTGGTAATTTATGGCTTCCGCTTGCGTTTGCGCATAAAGCTAACGTTATCCTGTCCTTTTTAATTTTTTTCCCCGACACTCTTTTTTCATTTTTACTTATTAACGTTTTCCTGGGAAGCATTTTCCAAAACAGGCTTGTTTCATCCACGTTGTATAGATTATTGTCACTGATCTCATTGTCCTCCAATATTTGCGAAAATTGTTGTACAAATTCCTTCGCAGTAGATTTGTCCGCATTGTCACTTTCACCACAGATATTTGTAAGGCGTAGATTATAATTTTTTTTGAAACGCCAAAGCCAGCCTTTACATGGCGTGAAGTTGGATGGGCCGCCCCTCTCTTCTTGCAGTGCTCTTGCCTTTTCTATTAAAATATAATCTGTTATTCGATCTCCTACCAAGCGACGTTGTAAGAACCACGAATACAATTCTTTGTCTAAATCAGCAGACGTGGATGTACGCATTCTTTTTTTCTGAAGTTTAAAATCTTCTCCCGCATATTGTCGTATCGACAAAGCTTTCTGTCGGATACGTCTTATCGTTCGATTCGAAACATTGTACTCATGTGCAAGAGTATTTATATTTTCACCAGCCTCTAATTTATTTAAAATGTCCAAACGATCTGCAATATTCACTTCTTTACTGGATTTGGGATCAGCCATTTCATCAAAATATTAAAGTATCAGTAGATTTAATGTTAACAACTACTTTTATGTATTATGTATTATAGGAATTTCAGTAAATTTTCGAGAAATTTAGATTAATTACAATTATTTGATAATTATTGCTTTATCATAATTTATTGTTTTATTTAGTTTATGTATACATTAAGTTTAAAATAGTTTTAATGTATTCAGTTAAAAAAAAAAAATGTTAAATTTCTTTGCAATCGGACGGATGTGGTAAACGACACTGGAATTCGTTGCACGTGCTCGGTATCGGTATAAATAATCGACTCTGCGGCCAAGTCGCAGAATACACCGCCCTTCTTAACTGTCCACAAACTATTGTATTTACCGGTAGGTAGGTAATGCGTATCTCGGTTTACTGAATGCCGCGTTTGAAAACAGAATGTGTCATTAAAGTAATATTGTGTCAATCGATTAATTCAGTATATTAATTCGGATTAATGTAATACACAATACAGCAGTGACCTCGCAACTGTCCAACAGTCGGGACTGAAACTGGTCAGTTAAGAGGGGCGGTGTATTCCAGGCATCAAAAGAAAGAGTGGGGAGAGCGCCACTGTTTCACCGATGCCAAGCACTAATGTCGGATCATATACATATGTCGTTTGTTTTGTGTGCGAAATGTATACACGGCTGCATGGTAAAATAACGTAGAGTGGGGCGTAGTCACAATTCCAAAAATTGGTGGGGATAAGTAATGGTCCAAAGTGTGGCCAGTTACTACTGTCACTACTGTATTAATGTAATATTATAACGTTTGATAATATTGACATTTGACAAAATCGTATGTAACGAAGAAAAATTCAATCATGAAGATAAGCTTCTGCGCGTTTGAAAAATAGAGTGCTGATTGGTCGAAATCATTAAGCGTGCCATTGGTCATGAGTTTATTAGTCGTAGCGGATTGCCCAACAGATTGCGCGCGAATTTTAAAACATGCAAACTTAGAAAAGAAACTGAAACGTGCGGAATACGAAAACGAACGTATTTTACGAAAAAATACAGGTAGGCTGTTTTCCGTGATATCTACGAACAGTAACGTGGTAATTACAACGTGTAGTTTGTTGAAGAAAATTAGTTCACGAGGATGCTAACCTCACTTAAGTCCCTCAGAGGAAACTATCACAAAGTGTTATAATTCTTTGCAAAAGTGAATATTTGTTTGCTTTACGGAGTGAGAAACACCTTCTGCAAAACTTAGAACTGAAAATTGAATTTACTAACGGACTCTGCTACATTGTTAATAAGTTTATCTCATAAAAACTTCACACATGCTCATCGATTCTTGTCCTATTTTCATTTATAATTAATGTATCTTTAGATTGACTCATGTAGGAGCTTAATAATGAAGGTCACTACTATTTTTTTCAGTACAATTATGTAATTTTTTTTTATGTCGGTTAATATAGCAAGTCATTTTCTGTGTATATCGATTAGTTTAGGAGAAATTTTAACTTCAATTTTATAAAATTTACTATATGAAAGAGGAGAAAGGACAAGAGTTGTATACCATTTTTGTCTTTTACGCGTAGATTTCATAAATAATAGATTTCCTAAACTAATAGCTGTTAGACTTTTTTTTGTAGAAAACAATCTGTTGCACTTTAAGCAAGGGAAAATTACATAATTATAAAACAGATATGGTATATGAATACCTGAGGTTTATACACTTTGTCTGTGATTGTACTTAAAAAAATAATAATGATCTGCACCAGTATTTTCCTACATGTATCTCTCTACAGACAAACTAAGTGCAAACCAAATTACTGTCCTCTCAAAACAAAGAAAAAAATGCAGTTGACACATTTTTTAAATGATAAATAATTTCATTTATAGAAATAATTGCATTTATAGATTAAAGTGGAACACCCTGTGTATTATGATATTCAGTAAATCTAAAATCTAGCAAATTTTGAAATTTTAGCAAAGACCCCAGTATTCTCTCAAGTGAACATCACTTGAGCATCACATAAGCGGATTGATCACTATCAGAAGCAGTGGATCAAACATTGTGGAATTGTTGCAAAAGCAGTTCGATGACTTGCAAGATGTACACACCGGTACGTGGCATATGAGTATAGTGCCTGTAATTTTTGGTCTGTACCTGGATTTCTTCGTGACGCTGTTCATCGCCTGCGTTTGTTTTTTTTTCGCTGTAATAAACACAAATAATTTGAAATTACACTTTTCAAATTACAATTCTACTATTCACTATAATTCACTGTAATTCTACTTTAACGATTAAAATCGTTTGTCTTAAAATTGTTTACGACATTAGATAGCATTCTTGGAGATAACGTCGGTTTGGCTATATCGCAGTCATTGGGTATAATCGGTAGCCTGCAACATGCGGTGAAGCGAAGTGGCGAAATGATATCTCACGCAGCGTCCGTGGAGAGGATCCTAAAGTACACGAATTTGCCCCAGGAAGTTTCGTAGACCAGTGACAATCCTCCGTCGGCGGATTGGCCGAAACACGGATAAGTGACTGAATAATGTCACCATGAAGTATGACAAGGAAAAAGCCCCTTGTGTTGAAGGTGATCAGAGAACAAGAATTGTTTATTTTAATTATTTCATATTTAATTAGATATAAATTGTATTGTTCATTATAATTATTTTGTATTTCATACTTTTCATTTTGTATTTACTCAAGAAATGATTATTTTAATTATTTTACAGTTTTCATTTCATGGTATTTTATTGTTAATTGTTCAAGAATTGTCTATTTCAATTATTTTACATTCAACCACAAATCTTATTTATCTTAATTATTTTATATCTTTGTTTCCTTCCATTTTCGCAGAATTTAAATCTTACGACAGAAATAGGATGAAAAGTTAGCGTGGTGGGTAGAATCGGCGTGGGGAAGTCATCTTTGTTATCGGCGCTCTTCCGGTTATTCGTCGAAGAACTAGAGGAAGAGATCAGAATCGACGGGGAGGACACCAACACACGTTAGGCCTGCATAAGTTATGCTCGCAGATATCGATCATCCTCCAGCAATAACAACAACAGCAACACAACAACAACAACAATAATAATAATAAAAGAAAGTAAAACAAAAAAAGCTCGAGATGAATTTTACAAAGATGTTAAATATTCCATTTCTAATTTTACACATACGTCCTCCAAAAGTTAGATGCATAATACATTAATCGTTACAGCTCGTAAAAGTATTACTTATCATTTTTTTTCTTTTTTTCTGTTTTAATTTAATCGCTACATCTCTTACAATCTTACTTTGAGTCCTCCATAGTGATGCTTAATTATGTCCTCTTATTCAAGTGTAATCATAATTTATTATCATAGTTTGAATTAAAAACTATGTTTCATTTTATTCGTTTCTTTTGAGAGGTACCTCGTGTGATCGAAGATTCAATTTTTTTGTTTGAAACACTCCCATCGATGGGATTCGTTCACGATCGATCGTCCATAATTACAAACAACCGATAAGTCGAATATTCCTTCCTTCTTTTGTTCAAGTAATACGTATCAGTTGTTAAGCAATTATATTTTAATAACAACATTAAATTTAACATTATCATATGCACAGTCATAAATTATATCAGTATCTCCCAACACTTTGTATCATAGCTATGTTTAACTTTACTTTGTAAATGCATCTATAAACAGTATATTGTGTAACCGCGACTTTTACGAATAATCGCTTTCTTTTTTAGAATGTGTTCACAGAAATACCCTCTATTCTAGTCCCTTTGCTATTCTTGTATTATATCTTTCTTTTTTATTCTATTCTTCTTTATTTATTTTATTCGACTGGTTTTTTTTTTCAATTTCAACAAGAATATAGTTTGTATACATCACGCTGAAAATTATTAGTTAACTTTTGAAGGAATCGTGAATCGTAAATGAAACACGCAACGAGACATAATACAGTGTGGGCCAAAAGTTTCTTCCCACTCATTTTTTTGTTTTTAATAAAAGATTGAAATATAAGAAAAAACTAATTTTATTAATTTTAAAAATTTTTTCTTTATTTAAATGTTAACTGCCAGAGCATTCGCAAAATTTTTTAATAAAAAAATAATTAAAAAATTACAAATTTATTTTAGTCGGAAGTGATTTTTGGCCCATCGTATATAATGAAAAGTTTTTTTTTTTTAAACACTGTTTTATGGCTAAGTTATTTTTTTTCCAAATCGCAAATAAAGCACTGTCGTCGAAAGGCACGTGCAAGATGCGTACGTTACGGATCAAACGTACTGGCACGTTGAGCACATACGTCATAGAACGAAGAAACAAGGCAGAAGAGAGTCGAGGTTGAGAATTGCGTTCAGTAGCAGCGCAGGCTTTGCGCGAAGCATGCGTACGTCGTTTTGTTTTGTTCAAGTTTGTTATTCGTCCGGTGGAACAGTACCCGATTTGTAGAATGTGACACGCGTTGTTGAAATTCCCTCGTTGAGCAGAAGACGAAGAAAGGCTCAGGCAATAGAAAGTGAGTAGCAGCATGATTGCTGAATGCGTCTCGCGCACCTATACATGTATATTCATTTGACTGTTTTCGATCGAGGTCCTATTTCGAATCCCAACAGTCACGCTACACGAAATATCGTTGTGTCAATATATCAAGGCTGGTTGGATAGTCCTGTGTCAGACAGAAGCATTCTCATCCCTCGAGTCGTTGAACAATTTATAGAATCAAATTTTGTCTTTCGATGAAATAATTTTCGAATAAATCAGACTCGTTCTGCTTACTACAATATTACGATAGAATATCTTACCTACTGATATAACAAATGACATAACAATCGGATTCTTATGATTGGAAAATGAGTTGTTTTTTTTTTGTGAAAATCACGTGTTTATTTGACGAGCATGCGTTCTAGGAGCAGAACGTTAATTTGCGTGCCGTTGTGAGTCGCGTAGCCTGCGATTACTAGTCGGAAAGTTTGATTTCTATTTTAGAAGTCCTCTCTGGTACACTGGGCGAGCGTGCAGTTCTTCGGTCGTGTAAAATCAAATTGAGGAGAATGGCATATCGGGGGCTTGAGCGTTACGCGTCACGTGTCATCCGCAATTGACCCGTTCTCAGCTTCTCTTTGTCTCGATAACATTTCGCGTGGCGTCGTTTTAATGCGACCATTAGCCTGCGTTACACAACAAGGAGGCATCCATCGCCCGGCGATTAATAACACAATAACAATGCGAGAAACGCTTTATTTTTAGCGCCCGATGACGAATTAAAAACGCACATACTGTCCCTGTGAAAACATTTGCTCAAATCTTATGTACGTACATTGGAAATTCGTTTCGCCGGATGGTTATTCTTCTCGGTGTGTGTAGTTCGCCGAGTCGCGGGCATTTCGTTGCATAACGCGTCTCAATTGCTCTCTGTGAACTTTTCGTTTCAACAATCATTAATTAATTTATATTTTCGTTATCGTATCATTGTCCGTCCCTGTCGTAAATATTTCTTGAACGTTCGCGATGTGTTTGCTCGAAAATGAAGTACGTAGAATCGATCGTCGCAAGCCGCAAAAATAATTACTTTGTCGATTATCGATAAACAAGATAACCCGTGATTGTGATTCGGTTGTCTTGTACCGTGTTCCCGTTATTTGGCATGAATCTATTTGCATGAATTCGCGAAACTTTTCCTGATGGTCGGATGACGTTCGTTTACCTTTTGTTGCGAGTT